CAACTGCCTGCAACCCCCGCCCTCTAATAGATATCTTGAGAGGTAGCTAAGGATGTAGTACGAGTTTTCTAGAATTTTTTAGTTGATTATGAAGGTTTCTTGAATACATATCTGAACCTAGAATCTGGCTCAATTTGTGGAGACAGGTGGTTCATTTCAAGGGGTCACGAAAACAACTTATGCTCGAGTCCTGGAATTTCTTGAATTCCTCTCCTTCTTCTGACATCTCAGAAATGTTATGTCTTATCTTAAAGAGTGGAAGAACGAAATACGATTTCTAAATATGATGTCCACAAGGTTATATGGCAATGAACCTGGATCCTTCACAGTAAGTTTGCAGGATCTAAATTACTTCCTTTGGAGTTTGGCGCAGTTTGATGCACAAGGAGTTCATAATTCCAGGGGGCATGCGCGTATTCTACAATCCTCAGAGTCTTTGACTTGACATTTATCGTACTCTATTTTCTATTCTCCACTTACATTTTTTGTCATGGCTGGTAGGTCACCCCAGAAGAGAGGAAACACATATCGCTCAGATGTCTCTTTGATCAGAATCAACCTGTAATTGATAATTATGCTTCATTCTTTTTAGTAGATTTTCATCTCAAGTTCAGACTTTTATGCGAATATTGTTATTCGTACAAAGATTTAGCTTAGCTGATGAAGAGGAACCAGTTTGGGTATACTAAAAATTCGGTCTTGAAGATAATCTGTAGTGGTTTTCTCTTAGACGCTATTTAGCTCAAAATGTTGTTATGATCTAAATACAAGTGAAATGACTTGAAAATCCTCAATCATCTTCCAACAAATTTGAGTTCCAGGACAAACTTTCAATTAACAATGTTTATGCCAGCATACAATCCTACACTGATGTAATCAAACAAAACTTTCTGCTAAATTCATCTCAAGAAAGCCAGGTAAAAGGGTATAATTTAGAAATTTCCCAGAGCAGCGTTCTTACAAGGGAAAGGGCGAAGTAGTTTACTTAGCTGAAATGAAAGATTTTCATGGCAAACTATACATGGCTAGAAAATAAGTGCATGTTCATGCTTGACCCTACAATGAATACATAACAAGATTTTTAACTTTTTGTCATGTACATCAATATTTCCTACCAAACATGCCATGCGAGTTACACACTAACAAGAACGGCAATATTGCCCTCAAAACATTTTTCATCGTTCATTTACGCAACCAAGGTGCAGAAGTCTTGAGTATCATCAATGCAATACAAAATTTACAAAGATCCATGCACGGTATGAGAAAACTTTGGGCTAAGTGGGAAATGGATGTAAAAATCTATCAAAACGTTCAACTTATAACTTCATATTATACTTAAGTGTTACATAAGATACACTTCACAAGGAAAGAAACCTACCATCTGCTCGCTTAACTATAGCATACGTGATTATGCGTTAATTGCCTTAACCTCATTCTATATTTGTCCCTTCGCATGGTAATGGAAAGAACAAATTTTAGGATATGTTTGATATATAGTGCTGAACAACATTATTAATCACGTGCAGTTTTAGTGTTATAAATACTGCATTCCGTACATGATAACTTAAGTGCCAATGGACTACAAGAATATCTTCATCTATCGACTTAAGTGTTCACTGAACCACTTAACAGTACCTAATGTGCAGTGTATCATTCTGCATCAAGACATCTTAACAAAGTACGGCTTGAAGTTAAAGGACCATAGAATCGAAGAATTTTGCTACATGCCAGTAGAAATATTGCTTTAATAATGAATTGGCTATACTTGCCATTTAGTGTAATGATTTCTTGTTATCATTCTAACTCCACCTTCTTTTTTTCTATTAGATCCGTAACATTTAGAACATCACACTGTCAAAAAGTATTCCGTGCCTTCTTTAATCTTTTTTCTAGATTTCAACTGTTCGTAATTACACGTTACACATCTTGTTTCATATATTGTGGAGTGCAGCAGTGATTACTGACTAGAAACCTAATTCAGAGAAGAAATCCTCCTGGCTTTCAAAGCCCCATCCTCGTCCTGCCCCTACAATTAAAGAAATTCCGGTGAATTCTAACTATGAAACCACAATGACACGCTATAATCTAAAGAATTCCATCCTTGTTAATATTGTGTGAAGTGGTGAAATCTCTGAATCTAATTTCAGCTAAAATTTTCTTAGAAGATGATTTCACAAATTACAAACCTATATAGTATATGATTGTCCCTGAGTAAATAATCCAATTGATAAGTTGGAAAGGTAGACTTTTACTAGATGAAATTTCCTCAAGCTAACCTGTAGATAAGGCTTTAGCTAAAGTTTCAAAATCATGTTCAGCTAAAAATCTCATCAAAAAGGCTCTCATCTCATGATCACATATTTCTGACAAATCGACATCTATACTGACCCAAGTATAGAAAGATCCTAGTGAAAGATATTTCTTGGAGATCAAACATAGATTCATCAACTAAATCCTCAATATCCCAAATTCAACACTTCCAAGTACTAGCAGAAACTATAAGGATTCAATTATCATAAAAGTAAATAAAGTAACGGATCTTAACCGACATGAAGCTTCTTAAGTATACATATTGGTAAGATGATGCAACGAAATCAATAAGCACATCGTAAATGTACTTAAGCCAGTAAAATGGGAAACCAATACAACACAAACATTTTAACAACAGTAATTTTTCAACAATTTGAAGCCAAGAATCATTTAAAGAATCTAAACACAGAAGGCAACAGCCAACTATTACGTTCTATTTTATTTGAATTTCATATAGGTTATACACTTTTATCAATCAGCAAATTGCTCCATCAGTCATGAATTCTACAATAATAGAACTACAACAATTACATTCCATCGAGTGCAAAAGTTGGGTTAAGTCTCATGGTACACATCAGAACTCCCATGCAAGCAACCGTGACCAACCAAAAGAACCTTTCCATCATGGGATTATGAATCTTCTCCTTATATGACATCATTGATTTATGAAAACAAGATAACCGGGCTACAAACTGTGACAGTTTAAAAACAATCATAAGAATCATATTGAACAAGAATAGAATGATCCTACCACACAAATGAAAAGAATGTATCACTGTGCACTTTTCTTCCCATTGCCATAATAACTGAGATACCATCGAACAAATTTCTTCAATCCCGTTTGCAGATCTGTAGTGGGCTTATAGCCGAGCTCTCTCTGAGCCAAGCTTATGTTCGCATGAGTAAACTGCACATCCCCATTCCTAGGCAACTTCATAACTAACCTCTTTGCCTTTACTTTGAGCAATCTTTCTAAAATGCTAACAAGATCCGAAACAGGCACAGGAGAAGTGTTCCCCAAATTGTATACGCGCAGTTGAGCAGGTCCACTTTTCTTGCCACCACTGCCAGTGCTCTTCTCAGCAGTGTCCAACGCCGCCAAACAACCCTTTACAATATCATCAATGTATGTAAAGTCCCTAGCTACTGTTCCATGATTAGGTGCCTCAAAGATCGGGATTGACTTCCCTTTCAAAATATCCCGTGTGAAAAAGAAATATGCCATATCCGGCCTACCCCAAGGTCCATAAACTGTGAAGAACCTCAATCCCGTAAGTGAAAGTCCATATATATGGTTATAAGTATGTGCAATTTCCTCACCAGCCTTCTTAGTGGCTGCATACAAACTAGCCGGCTGGTCTGTTCTATCCCTCTCAGAAAAGGGTACCTTAGTATTTAATCCATACACAGAACTACTAGATGCCCACACAATCGCAGGCTGGGGATTGACACTTTTACAAACCTCAAGCATAGTAACAAGACCAGCAATATTACTATGCACATAGGAGCTAGGATTTTCCATGGCATACCTCACACCGGCCTGAGCAGCCAAATGCATAACATGGGTGAATCCAACAATATCAAAAAGCTTCTTCAAGAGGGCAACATCATTGATATCACCCTCCACAATGTAAACACCCGTGCGCTCCAATAGAGCCTGCCGCGCCCTTTTAAGGGACGGATCATAGTAATCATTGAAATTATCGAGCCCCAGAACGCCATCTCCCCTGCGCTTGAGGGCAACCGATACATGTGTACCTACAAAGCCAGCAGCCCCGGTAACCAAAACAGAAAACCCATTTCTTGACCTGATTTTAGCTGAGGCCTTGACCCTTTTTTCCCACACAGGACCACCATAAGAACTGGTTCTTAAAGACCTCCTCGAGAGATCTGAAGGGACTTGTGATGAAGACGACGACGACGATCTAAAAAAGAACATAAAGATCAACCCAATGAAAACAAAAGACCAAAACGTGAGCTTGGCTAAAGAAGAATAAAGCCTTTGCCTATGATATGGAGATTTCTCCATCTTGAACTTCCCTGGGGTTGATGGAATATTATCAATGTGCATCATCTGGGACATTATTCTCTCAAAATCTTGAAGATTTGGAAAACAACCAGTTTCTAAATCCCCTACTTTGAGACAAATTTGCTGATCTCAATCTTTTCAGATTTTCTTGAAACAACAGAGCAGTGCTAGGGTTTGAAAATAATCATCAAGAAATCTGAAAATTTCTTTAGAATAAGAAAATAGAAGATGCAGATGGGAGGATTGAGGTTTGCAAAGGTATTATGGAAGTTATCTTTTGTGCTTTTATTTATGAGAATCTTCTTGTTTCTTGAAGGCACTGCTGGTTGTTGCTAGTGGTGACAACGGATTTTTTTCCTTTTTTTTTCTTTCCTTTTTGCTTTTGTATTAGAGAGGCTCTTTCTTTGGTTGTACACAGGATAAGATCTGAGATTTTGATAATTGATGATCAAGAAAATGATGATTAGAGAGAGAGAGAGAGGGAGACAAGGTTTGAATAAAATATAAAAAGTTAAATCTATTTGTACATAATGGTTTACCTCCTCTAACATAATGTGCGGAGCTTGCATGTATTTAAAAATTTCGATAATGTAATCCACATCCCCATTATGAGTAGTAGATAAAAGATTCGATAAATAAATTCGATACATGGAGCATGATCCAAATATAAAAAGGAGGATTAATGGAGAGAGGGGGAGGGGTAAATAGAAAAATGCATGTTTGTCTAGGATTAAACAAGTTACTTATAAGTAAATGGTTTTATAATAAGTAATTATTTTTGTGGTAGAATTAAAAATAAATAAAGCTATTTTAAGAATCATTTATCTTATAGTCAAAATAATAATCAATATAATAGAAGGCGAACCAAATTAGTTCGTTCGACCAGTAAAATTGGAATATATTTAAATAAATCAATAACTTAAATTTTGTTAATATAATTATTCTAAATTGATCGACATCCATCGAAAGCTAGCTTGTATTAGGCGTTCATTAATTAAAAAAAATGAAGGTTATTTAATTTCTTTTATTATTGATTTTATCTTTACTCTTAATCTTTTATCTTTTTCGGATTTTAAAACATTACTTTCGTTAATAGGTAAAAATATATATTTATTTAAACATGTTTAGAAATTACAAAAAAAAAAAAAAAATTATTTTTCACTTTCGTTTATTATTCCCTAAAATCGAAAAACTCTCCTCGTTTTCTTTTCGAGCAAGTATTATACAATAATTAGTGAAGTAACCAAACCATCTCGAGTCGTTAAGTTTGTCCTAATAACTTTATTTATATTTTTTTACGTGATATAAAAATTAAATAAAAGAGAGTTGCAATGATCTTTATCCTATTCTATGGGACCAACCTTTATATATTTTTCGTTAAGTTATTGAATTTTTTTTTATATATTGCTATTTAGAATCAAATTCAACGTTTCATTCAAATTTATTTTTCTCTTTCATTTGTGATTTCTCAAAAAAAAAAAAAATCTCATTTTCATCAACATAATACATATATTGTATGTTTGGTGAGGCAAACAATATATATTAGTCATATTCAGTATTGTATATCAAACACATGCATATGCACGTGAGCCATTACTCTTGTTTTCTGAATGAAATTAATAAATTGGGATTTAAATGACATAAAAAATTAAAGTAGAGGACCCCAAATACAGCCGTTAAAAATGAGATTTGCAGACACAAAATTTCCTTTAAATTAAGTAGCTTTATAAGAAAGCATTAAATTTCATAGCTTTATAATTACTTCTTTCGTCGTTTTGTCATTCTTTACTATCAATGTATCATGATGGGTCGAATAGGTTACATTGAATTCTTCATACTAATCTATCTGTCTTCACCTTCTCAGTTCCCACAAAGGTTCAGAAAAACGGTGACATTGGACCAACTCAAAATTTAACCACA